CTGATTATTTCAGGAGCCTTATCACAAGTCCATTGTTTTTGAATGTTGGTGCTACTTCTGCTATATTTTCACACTTAAATCAATAATTTGGTTTTCCTCTTGTACCATTGTCCTCTTTTATGCTAAGAAATAAGTCACCTGGCAGTTCTTTCCCAAATGGTTCCACTGCTGTCTGAGTCTGAGTCTGAGTATGATTCAGTGGGCTATATAACACTTTTATTTGTCAGGAAATTACTTGTCTTTAAAAGTTTTGGTTCAACATATTTACCTGTTGATCAAAAATAGCCTTAAACCTATACACTTTTTTTTTTTTTTTTTAAGTAACTTTCAGGAGGGTGTACTCATTTTTGCAACACAAAATTGTATCACTTTGTTAAGAAAATCTTATTTTGCTGAATAATTTTGGCATTCTTCTTTGGTAATTGATCAAGCAGGCTTGTTGGAACATTACATCTCCAAAGAACCCTAACATGTCTTCTAATTAAAGAGTAATTGCTGAATTTGTTAAGTTTTAGAGGGGGTGTACTCATTTATGCTGTGCACTATATATATATATATATATATATATATATATATAATATATGTGTGTGTGTTTATGGTTTTCACTTTGATTTACAGATAGGCAACTTGCAAATAAATGAAAAAGATGACAAGCTGAAAGCTGCAGCAAATGGTGAGAAGAACTTGTATGACCTGCTAAGTTAGATTTGTATTTTTGTGTATTGCTGTTGTGGATTCTCATGATGAATGATGCTGATATCGTGTTTTTCCTCCTTTCCTTTTATTAATAAGGTGCAAAGACAGAAGGCGATGGAGTGAAGACGGAGGACGAGGATAAAGGTGACTTTCACAGCAGAATCATCACGCAGCCAGTCTGTTTTCTTCAGTTTGACTATCTGTGTTTATTCTCCGCATGAGACTTGACTAAAACTGATCTGAATTGCAGATGACAAGGCAGCACAGTCACTGTTGAATAAACTGATCCGCAGTAATCTAGTGAACACGACCAATCAAGTTGAAGTCCTTCAGAGGGATCCGAGTTCTCCGCTATACTCTGTCAAGTCGTTTGAAGAGCTGCGATTGTGAGTTTGACCGTGTTCCCGCTCCTGATTGTATTACAGCTTTAACAGCGCTCAGACTAGCATGATAATGTTTGTCTTATCAAATGTGTTTTCTTCTATGGTTTACTTTATTTATTTTTTGCCAGAAAACCTCAGCTACTGCAGGGAGTGTATGCCTTGGGTTTCAACAGACCCTCCAAAATCCAGGAGACCGCATTACCCATGATGCTCGCAGAACCGTAAGTTTGTTAACCTTTTCTTCTCCGTTTAAATCCAACTTAATGCAGTCTTTTTTCTTTTTTTTTGGTGCTAGATCAAAAGTGGTTTTCTGTATGTGTGCTTCAGTGTCTGTTAGTCATGTGTGCACCACATTAGGTTCTTGTTCATGAGTTATTGAGCTTTTGACATCAAGTGTGTTCTGCACCTTTTCTCATTCATGCGTTTCTTTTTCCGACTAATGTCAAACTTTTAGTACTGTCTTTTTACGATTATTTTGTGGTCAAATGGCAAGTTATGCAGGATCCCAAAAACGGTGACATTGTTAAGCACTGAATTGTGTATAATTGGAGGGACTATTAATTAGGGTTGGGTACCGTTCACATTTTAACCGGTACGGTACCGGTATCGGTACCTGAATTTCGGTGCCGGTACACAACGGTACCTTTTCTCGGTACTTTACTCTCTGTGTAATTACAAAAACATTTATTTCAGTGAAAACATAAGTCCAAAAGACTCAATTTCAACATTTTGAACAATAGGGCCCTACAAACTTTTTCTTTCGTTCGTTCTTTCTTTCTTTTTTCCCCCCAGAAATTCTTGTTTGAATTTTTCTGAAAATCAAATGAAGGCATTAAACATTTATTTTAAATCAAATGAAAATTATACCCTTTTATTTTTTGGCAAACAAACTGAGGTTTACTGTTGAAATTAATACATGGAAGAAAAATTGTGTGAATATTCCTTTAAAACATTTTATAATAGGCTAATAATTGTATTATTTTTTTTCTACAATGAAGTGATTAATCTGGTTGTAATATTTATATGAAGGTAGAATGATGTCAAAAAGATTTGCATACGCAGGATAAGAGTTGTGGAAGTGTACATAAGACTGTAAGCGTAAATTAAATCAATAAACACATCATATGCCAAGACATTAATCTTCATTTAGTTCAGTATCGTTCTTGCTGCCGGAATGGTACTTTTAACGTACACGTACAGTAAAAAAATAAATTAAAAAATAACAACTTAATTAAAACATGCTCCTTTCATAAGCTGTGTTTCTTTAGGCTAGACTCCCACGTGTTCATACTGAATTGCGAGCTGGTGTTAACATTATTTGGTTTGGCTTTACATTGAAA